ATTGTCATTTTAAAGACCATTTTATGCCACTGAATATATAATCATAATGTAACAGCATAATAATGCTGGCCTACACACTTCCAAATGACATCAAACTTTTCACTTTTAAGAATATTTAGATCATGCAAATTAAGCATCAAAATAAATATAATGGGTGATATATTGCGTCACCAAAAATGATTGAGGTCATGAACATATATTGCGCGATAAGTCGATATATTGATTATTGCGACAGGCCTAAGTGTGAGACACTTTTTTTTATGGAAGGGTGCTTTTTATGTCACGTCTTTTGGACTGAAGCAATGCAACACCCGCTGAGTGCAACGATAGAGCTTGAAAGATCAAAGACAATTTTTTTATATAACTCCGACTGGATTCGTCTGAAAGAAGAAAGTCATATACACCTAGGATACCTCGGGGGTGAGTAAAACACAGCCTAATTTTTTGGGTGAACTAACCATTTGATATTTGCACTTTGCTTGGTAAAGTAGCTTACTTAATATATTGTTTGGATAATTGCTCAACTTTTTAAATCACTTTTTAAATCTTAAGACATATCCCAAAAAAATAGGTAAGAAAAAACAAAAACAAAATGACTGTAACCATTAGATCATAAAACCAACTTTGTACAAACTTTGTATATACATAACGAAATACTAATACTAAAATGTGTTGTAATATTAAATTGAGTATTTAAATGACGTACAATTATTAAAATACATATTAAATTATTAATATTAATACATTGCAAAAATGAGTTATTTTATATCAGTTATTAATAATAATTAAATAATTTATATAAAATTATTTCAAATTATTTAAATACATTTAAAATTATTAATATTAACTCATGAAACGATAATCAAATAAAGAAATCCATTGTGATCACCAAACAAAGTTACATAAATATATAAAAAAGTATAAACTAGCATAAATAATAGCAATGATAATATTAATACTACAATTAATTTTAATCATTGATAAATTATTTAAATACATATTAAGTTAAAAATATTAATGCTATAATACACTTATTTCATTTTTTATTGAGGCTGTCTAATGATCATGGACAAAATAATACAAAAAAGTATTAACTATTACAAATATGTTTATTATTTTTCATATAAGTTATGATTAATTACAAATTGTAATCAAGTTTATTTTACTTCTTTCATTTAATTTTATTTGTCTTTTTATTTAGAATATCACTAATGATTTGTGCACATAATTAATGAATATTAATAAAGACAATGTGGTCAACCCAGCTTTCACGTGTTTAAACCGCACAAATTCACAAATGAACGAGCTGTTAATGTCCGTTCCTCAGGGTATTCCCACAGAAACCGAGCAGCCGCCGCAGGAAGTAGTGCGGCCCACGCCGGTGTCCAACCCCACCCCTCCAGCACCACAGCGACCTCAGCCGCCGCCCGCCGCAGCCGGTGAGTGGCCATTTGTTCACGACGTGTGGAAATAGACGCCCATTTGCCCTGCAGCTGCCGCCTTCTTGCTAATTCGCTGAACCGTCATTTCGGTAGCACAGCTGATGGAGGAGTCTTCATTTATGCTCATGGGCATCGCTGACGTTCTGTTCATTAGGCAAATAAGGAAGCATAAAGGTCAATATCTCAATAAAATCTGCCCCCAAATTAGCGTTAACAAGTAAGTGAATGTGAACTTTGGACTTGGCAATGTGCATAAATTTTACAATGTTTTTTAAACTTAACTTTCTTAATGTGTTGAGGGTCAGTTAGACCCACATTTGATTTCTAAACAGTTTGAAACACCGGTTAAACTATTTTACTTGTTGAAATTTGGTGGCTTTTTCTCATTTTGGGTTATGAATGTGTGTGCAAAGTTTTGACACATAGATGTGTTTTGGAAAGGCTGTACAAATTTTGGTGGTGTTGGGGTCCATGCACTTTGCAAAAAACAAAAAAAACGTTATTGTCGCTTGTCAAAGACTAAAATATGAGATACGTGAAAAAGTTTACTCAAAATTTAAAATATGAGATATGTGAAAAAGTTTACTCAAAATTGAACACTTTCTTAATTATGAGTTTTAAATACAAAAGTTCTGTGAAATTATATTTTTGGGTGATTGTTTTTTGGATCTCAATTATTAGTCGGTTGCTGCACTAAAACAGAGAGGAAGTGTGAGAAACCCATTTTACCCTCACAAAAAATGTGACAATGACATAAATAAAAAATGACAAAAACACACAAAAGAATTACTAAAACTTTGACTAAAATTCAAATGACAACAAAAATATATATAAAAATAAAAACTAATTCAAAATATTAATAAAAACTTTAGTAGTATTTCACTAATTTACACTACAGTACAAACAATTTAGGTAATAATTATGCTTAGTGTATAGTCACTTGCACCATTACAGAACTAGTTAAAAGATAAAAAAATTAATTCACAGAAATTTTTTGTGTGTCTGTGCTGCACATTTTGCAAATATTTTTGGTCCCTGACAAGCTTCAATCAGTGTTTTTTTTGTATCATTAATATATTATTATAGTTTTTGTTAATATTTTGAATTCGTTTTTTCTTGATATTTTCCACAATTATTTTAAAGTTCTTCTTTTAAAATTAAAAAAGACAGCAAAATTACTTATTCTATTAAGTTTAAGTTCATTTAGTTTGAGTTCAGCTTAACTTCAGTACTTCAGCTTAAACTAAACGAAAATTAGAAATGAAATGGTTTTAGTTAATGCGACTCTTTTATGTTTTTGTTTTTGTTTGTATGTTGTGTTGAGTTTTGGCGAATTTCATGGAAACCATAGACAGCATAAAGTGTAAATGTAAATACTTAAAAAAAAAACATTGGTGTTATTTGTGTTGTATTTTTACTTTCATAAAAAAATATATATATTTAAATTTTAAAAAACAAACACAAAATTACTGAAACTTAAAAAGTGAAAATAGACAATATAAAAGTTAAATCTAATTCAAATATGAAAAAAATACATAATAGTATATCAGTGATGCTAATATAACACCACCAAAATTATTATTAATATAGAAATTTTTATTATATTTTATAATATATGTAGTATTTTATTCATATGGTTTAAATTGTTTAATTACAATTATTTAAATAAATATTAATTATTATTTGCATAATATATTTATAATGTTGATTTTTGGCTAATTTTGTGAGGGTCAACAGATGCGACAAAAAGTAGACACTTCAAAAATGTTGACTTTATGTTTACTTTCTCATTTGGAGGCACAGAAAAGACAGTGTTGCATAATACAGTGCAGTAGGAAACAAAGAAAATGGTTTTCTTTGAGCTTTTCCTCGATGGCGGCCCACCAGCGTCCCGGGCCAGACTCCTCTACAGCCCTTTCTGTCCTGTGAACAGGTGTGGAGTCGGGAGCGGCGCAGGCCTTGGCGAACCCGCTGGAGTTCCTGAGGAACCAGCCGCAGTTCCAGCAGATGCGTCAGATCATCCAGCAGAACCCGGCGCTGCTGCCAGCGCTCCTGCAGCAGCTTGGCCGAGATAACCCGCAGCTCCTGCAGGTGGGTGGAGCTTAGCGCAGAGCCGCTGCGATTGGACGCACAATGCTGAATCTGCGCTTATTTTTCTGTGCAGCAAATCACGCAGCATCAGGAGCGATTCGTGCAGATGTTGAACGAGCCACACGTAGGCGAAGCCGAAGCCGCTGAAGCTCCCAGCGCACCACAGACCAACTACATCCAGGTCACGCCGCAGGAGAAGGAGGCCATCGAGAGGGTATGCTAACAATGCTACGAACGTTTGGCTTGAAGACGAAGTATAATTTCTGTGATACTAGGGACAACGCACAGACCAATGTGAAATGTAGTTTTACTAGATACCATTTGGTCACGTTAGTGTCACGGAAATTACACAATAAATAAGAAAAAATTTGAATTTTTAAATTCAGTTTTTAAAGCTGCAACTGTGTTTTAAATTAAAATAAAATACCTAATAAACTTATCCACTTTTACTTAAAGTCAGCATGGAATGACATTTGCTACCCATTTTATTTGACATGATTCAAAGTAAAACAGAATATATATTTTTAAATTCAGTTTTTAAAGCTGCAACTGTGTTTTAAATTCAAATAAAATACCTAATAAACTTATCCACTTTTACTTAAAGTCAGCATGGAATGACATTTGCTACCCATTTTATTTGACATAATTCAAAGTAAAACAGAATATATATGTATATATATGTATAATAATACATCAGCAATAAATATGAATAAAAAGTGAAAAATTTAACGGGGTCTGAATACTTTCCGTACCCACTGTATGTATAATAATACATCAGCAATAAATATTAATAAAAAGAATTTCCATCAGCATCATTACTCCAGTATAAAGTGTCACATGATAAAAGTTTACATTTCTTTCAATTAAAGAAAGAATAAAAATGTACTGACCCCAAACTTTTGAACTGTAGTGTATATTGTTAGAAGAGATTTCTATTTTAAATATATTCTCTTCTTTTGAACTTTTTATTCATCAAAGAATCCTGAAAAAAAAGTATCACAGGTTCCAAAACAATATGAAGCAGTTTCCAGCACTGATAATAAATGAGCATATTAGAATGATTTCTGAAGATCATGTGACACTGAAGACTGGAGTAATGATGCTGAAAATTCAGCTGCGCATCACAGGAATAAATTACATTTTAATGTATATTAAAACAGAAAAATGTTATTTTACATTGTAATAATATTTCACAATATTAAATTTTTTTATGTATTACAGTATTTTTGATCAAATAAATGCAGCCTTGATGAGCATAAGAAACTCCTGTGAAAACATTTAAAAATCATTCTGATCCCAAACTTTTGAACGGTAGTGTATATATATATATATATATATATATGTATGTGTGTGTGTAAAATAATTAAATTGTTAATATTTAATTATGAAATATGTTTAAATAATTACGATTATTTAAACATATTTAAATAAACATTAAATGATTTGTTTTTCATTTTTAAACTTTTTTTTTGTTTTTGAATAAAATGTGCATAATTCATGTTTTTTTATTGTTGCATTCTAATGGTTATGTAGTCATTTGTGAATTGAAAATAATTTATTATTAAAATGTTGTTTATTAATTATTTTGTATTTTAATTTATTATAATTCAAATAACTATGTTATCTTAATTTAATGTTTATATTGATAATTACTCAGCTTTTTAAGTCATTTCTAATGTGCATCTTAACATTTCCACAAAATAAACTTTATATACATACATATACACATACACAATGTAATTGTATCTAATGCAAAATGTCAAGGTTAACAACAATTCTAAAATAGAAAAAAATATATATTTTAATTTTAATAATTAATTAAAAATGATTGAACGAACAGTAATTTCACACAACATGTTTTAACATTTTATAAAATTGCGTTATGTTTTCTAGTTAAAAGCTCTGGGGTTTCCAGAGGGACTCGTCATCCAAGCCTACTTCGCCTGCGAGAAGAACGAAAACCTTGCCGCGAACTTCCTGCTGCAGCAGAACTTTGACGATGAGTGAACGTTAACCGTTTAGACGTGACGACACTCGGAGGATGGCAACGGAGAGAATGCAAGCGCTAGGCCGCATGTTGCGTGCGCGTGTGTGTATGTGTGCGTTAAAGCGAATTGGACGTCGACTGGTCTTCCATGATGATTTTCATGGAGTTTAAACTGAAGCCATGATGTGACGTTATAATCAGCACAGCTAAAAAAATTTTCGATAGATATAGCCGATCCTTTATGACGAGGTGTCCGTTGTATGTCTGGTTTCTGCTGCTATCTCTGCTGTGTGCGTCGAGTGAGGTTTTATTTATCACAGTTAAACCCTGCCAAAAACTCTCAAGGTCATCGCTCATTTCTCACAATTGTTTTTCAGTATTAATAATCATGAGACGTTTCAGTCGAAGTAGATGCCAAATTTAATTTGTCACCAATGAAAACAAGCCTTTGATGGATAGATGTACGTCTTTTCAAGACGTCGTACCATTTTTGTTGCGTTTTCTCCACTGGAACAATTTTGGAAATATGTCAAATTAAATATGGTGTCTACTTTATGCCATGTTATGTCATATTTAGTGTTTACTTTTCTTTCATTATTAGCCTCTACTGTGTGAAATACAATGTTTATGCAGTGGACGTCACCAAACTACTTTTCAACTCATCTGTTCCCCTACATCAAACCATTAATATTAAAAATAAACCACATTTTCTGCGCTGCATGGGTATGTTAGTATCTTTAAACCCATGTTTAAAATAAGAACTGTCGATAACGTCTACAATCATGAGTTTTTGGTAAAAAAAAACAGCATTGATAGTTGATATGTGACAATCTAGTTGGCTAATTAACTAGATTTTATTTTCAAGTTTATTTCTGTTATTTGATAGGGCATGTTTAACAAAAATCTAAATTCTGTCATCATTTACTCACCCTCAATTTCTTTCTTCTGTTGAACACAAAATAAGACATTTGAAGAATGTTGGTAACCAAAAAGGTAACGGTAGCCATTGCTTTCCATAGTATAGAGAAAAAAAATACTATGAAAGTCAATGGCTACCGTCAAATGTAACCAAACAGGTGATGGTAGCCATTGACTTCCATAGTGTTATTTTTTCCATGCTATGGAAGGCAATGGCTACTGTCAACTGTAACCAAACACGTATGGAGGGCAATGCCTACCATCAACTGTAACCAAAAGGGTGATAGTGTTTTTTCCCATACTATGCAGGGTAATGGCTTCTGTCAACTGCAACCAAACAGTTGACGGTAGCCATTGGCTTCCATAGTATGGAAAAAAAAAACACTATGGAAGTCAATGGCTACCGTCAACTATTTGGTTACAGTTGACAGTAGTATATTATAGTTTCCATAGGATAGTATGGAAAAAAATACTATGGAAGCCAATGGCTACCATCATCTGTCAACTGTAACCAAGCAGTTGACGTAGCCATTGACTTCCATAGTGGCTACCGTCATCTGTCAACTGTAACCAAACAGTTGACAGTAGCCATTGACTTCCGTAGTGGCTACCGTCATCTGTCAACTGTAACCAAACAGCTGACGGTAGCCATTGACATCCATAGTGGCTACAGTCATCTGTCAACTGTAACCAAACAGTTGACGTAGCCATTGACTTCCGTAGTGTTTTATTTTCCGTACTATGGAAGGCAATAGCTACCGTCAACTGTCAACTGTAACCAAACAGTTGATGGTAGCCATTTACTTCCAAAGTGTTTTTTCCATATTATGGAAGGCAATAGCTATCGTCAACTGTAACCAAACAGGTAATGGTAGCAATTGCCTTCCCAAGTATTTTTCTCCATACTATGGAAGTCAATGGCTACCGTCAACTGCCATTGCCTTCCATAGTATGGGGAAAAAAAACACTATGAAAGTCAATGGCTACCGTCAACTATTTTGGTTACAGTTGACAGTATATATTATAGTTTCCATAGGATAGTATGGAAAAAAAATACTATGGAAGCCAATGGCTACCATCATCTGTCAACTGTAACCAAGCAGTTGACGTAGCCATTGACTTCCATAGTGGCTACCGTCATCTGTCAACTGTAACCAAACAGTTGACAGTAGCCATTGACTTCCGTAGTGGCTACCGTCATCTGTCAACTGTAACCAAACAGTTGACAGTAGCCATTGACTTCCGTAGTGGCTACCGTCATCTGTCAACTGTAACCAAACAGTTGACAGTAGCCATTGACTTCCGTAGTGGCTACCGTCATCTGTCAACTGTAACCAAACAGTTGACGTAGCCATTGACTTCCGTAGTGTTTTATTTTCCGTACTATGGAAGGCAATAGCTACCGTCAACTGTCAACTGTAACCAAACAGTTGATGGTAGCCATTTACTTCCAAAGTGTTTTTTCCATACTATGGAGGGCAATGGCTACCGTCAACTGTAACCAAACAGTTGACAGTAGCCATTGACTTCCATAGTGTTTTATTTTTCATATTATGGAAGGCAATAGCTATCGTCAACTGTAACCAAACAGGTAATGGTAGCAATTGCCTTCCCAAGTATTTTTCTCCATACTATGGAAGTCAATGGCTACCGTCAACTGCCATTGCCTTCCATAGTATGGGGAAAAAAAACACTATGAAAGTCAATGGCTACCGTCAACTATTTTGGTTACAGTTGACAGTATATATTATAGTTTCCATAGGATAGTATGGAAAAAAAATACTATGGAAGCCAATGGCTACCATCATCTGTCAACTGTAACCAAACAGCTGACGGTAGCCATGGAAAAAATACTATGGAAGTCAATGGCTACCGACAACTGTTTGGTTACCAACATTCTTTTTTATTTCATTCTTAATTTTCATTTTTTGGTGAACTATCCCTTTATTAACTCTAAAGTTCCCACTAGAACCAGTTCAGTATGCAGTAGAAACTGAATGAGCAGTGGTTTTGAATGGAGCCCGAAATGCTGCAACAATCGTAGGCATTTTATGTGGTGAAGCAACTGAATGTGGTCGAGTGTCTCAGCAGGTCTCGAAAACCGCATAAAAATATGCATTGTAATTTGAATATTTGTACATATTCGAGTGGAAGAAAAAACAGTGTTGTCTTGGTCTCTGTTGCACACTTAAGACAGTGCCAAACATAAATAGAAACTGGAAATGGATGAAATTACAGATCTAGCTGCAATGCTTGAAGTGGATGCAGAATGCATATATTTTTATATAAATGATGTGTCCTGCTTCTTCTATAGCCTAGTTTTGAGTTAAAATGCTGGAAGGGTATTTTTATCAATACGTTCAAAAATCTGTAGGTGTTCTGACAGGTACAGGCAAGACTAAGCATCCTGTTAGCATTTTATATTATTTTTTCTTCTTGGGGGATCTGATGTGTGGAGAAAGTGAACATGGAGGAGTTTGGTCTTAAATGCAACAGCACACAAGGGTTTGCGGAGTGATTTATGAATGTATTGTTTCAGTGGTGTGTGAAATAAATTGCTTTTAAAAAGCTTCAATGAAGTCTCCAAATAGATATAGTTTCATTCATTAGTAATGGATCCATAATCAGACTGCATATATGCTTCTAAATAGTATTTTTATTAAATTAAGTATCCCCGCCTGTCAGACCGGGGTTCGATTCCCCGACGGGGAGAATTGCAATCTTTTGAAAACCCATTTCATTTTCAATGGGTTTGAGACATTTTTTTTTTATCAAGTAAGAAGTAGATACTTCTGTCAGGACCACTAAAGTCAAAGATGACTGACAATTAGCATCGAGTTTTGGATTGGCGGTTCTGTTCTGGGCAAGAACTCCCTGCACATCCATGCAGCCCAGCATGGATACGAGCAGGGAGAGCAGCAATCCCCCCCCCCCAGGGTAAACAGAACAGAACCAACATAAATGTATTGCAGATATCATAAAAGTTCAATAATTGAATGCAACATTTTAGAAATTAGCCTTGTGATTCAAAGGAGAACCAGAAGGCCGAATCCTGACTGACGAGAGGAGGAGTTGGGGATGGAGGAGGGTAATTAGCTATTGAGCAACGCGAAAGTAGGTGATAATACTGAATCTTATATATGAATCTTATATACTGATCTTATATATGGGTGCTGTGATAGGTGTCGCATCCCAATAGGTAGATGTGGATCAGCTGAGAGTCAGCTGATGCAAGCTTGACTAACATGACTTGCCAGAACTAACACAAAGCGTGATTTATGGCCCAAGCTTAGGAACAGAGAAATATTAAGCTAGGGTTAGGTGAAGAATCAGGATTTTCCTCCACCTGACATTGATGTACTCCTGACATAGCGTTCCAGATTAAAATAGGTGGGCCACAGGCACAAAATCATGCTTGTTGTTTGTTAGTTGCAACGCTCAAGCTATAGAACAATATTTCAAGATAAATTAACTTTTTGTTCTGAGATATACTCAAAACTTAAACTTTAAATGCTTCAAAAAAGACCCTTGTTAAAACTACAACACTTCTGCAAGAGGGTGGGAACGCAACGGCATTTAACCATAATCTTTTGCAATATGAACAGCCAACTAGAACCGTTTACACAATTATCGTGTAGTTATACTGAAAGTCAAACATTCCAACTTCAAATTTCATTATATGACAAGATCATACCACACAATTCTCAAAAGCAGTAAAACTCCCAAAGTAATATACCCTACATATAGGTTAGACATGTTCAGTTGTCCAACATCTACCCCTTGTGGTTTGTTGTGGTATTGACTTGGACAAAACAAGAATTTGGACCAGAGTTTAGAAACGGAGAAAGATTTAGTTGAGGAGGATCAGGTTTCTGTCGTTATTGCTCCTGACATAGTGCTCCAGATGGAGGGATAATTGTTTTTTGTGAACCGTGAGCGTTTGGCCCAGCTGCGTCCCTACTTCCAAGGCTTTTTTTTTTTTTTGGCGGTGGTCAGCAGAACACCAAGAGGCATGCTGAGGTTAAGGAACTTGGACCACAGTGCTGGAAAAAATTCCAAAATAAAAACAAAAATTTTTATTCGGCAAGAAGTAGGTACTTATGATCTCAGCTTAGGCACAGAGAAAGATTTTTTTGAGAAAGATCAGGATGGTGTCTACAACACACTTGACGTAGTGCTCCAGGTTGAGAGTTGTTTGTGAACCATGGTCATTTGGCCCAGCTGAGTCCCTACTTCCAAGCCTTGGTTTTTGGCAGTGGTCAGGAGAGCACCAAGACACATATCAGGATTAAGGAAGTTGGACCACAAACACAAAACCACAGCCAAGATTTTTTTGGTTGCAATGCTCTGGATGTATAGGAGTGACAAGTCAAAGTTCTGAGACGTACACAGAACTTAAACTTAGATGCTTCACCAAATGGCTTTTTTGGTATATTCGCACCGCAGGAACTAGTAACATATTTGTTCTAGGAACTCCATTTGCGGGAACTACATTGGTTCCTACTTCAGTGTAGGGTCTAGAACAGTTCTATAGGAACTACCAGTGATGTAAGTGTATGCTGATTGGCCCAACGCATACGAAACACTGGCTACCCGGCATTTTTAAAAAGCCATGTAAAAGTATTTACTACATAAACATGGAAAACAATGATAATGGCATTTACCTGTTGTCTGCAACGTTGTGTTCTTTTCTCAGCCGCAATGATAACACTGCAAGTTGTCATAAGAGATTTTGTCTGATTTTCATGCTCTTTCTATCACGTAAATTACATTAAATCTTTGTTATCGCGATACCCACGACACACAACAAAAACAGCTCCGATCATGTTCACATTCGATCCGGTCACATCACATTCACCGGTTGTTGATGTTTGTAAATGCCATGAATAAAGACGTCGCTGTCGGTCGCTTCAGAGTTCCTGTTGCCAGTGCGAATGCAACCAGGAAAATGCCCTGAGGAGGAGATTGGTTCTCTAGGAAAGACCCTGCTGGCTAGTTCCTAGAACTACGCAGTGCGAAAGCGCCTAATGACCTACCTGGAACATGCCCGATCAGGTGGTACATGCCCTTTCCAAAACAAAACTTCTAAGTCAGGAGTGCCGAATCCTGTTTCTGGAGATCTACAATCAGTGCTCCAATATATGGTGTGTGTATATATTGGAGTGTAATCATGGTGTGTAAGCCCCTTTAATGAGCTTGTTCAGGTGTGTTTGATTAGGATTGGAGCTGACCTTTGCATGAAAGTACTGTAGATCTCCAGAAACACAATTGGGCATTTTGCCTTTGTTGTCTAACTGTCCACACCATCTAAAATATTATTTCTTGCTCTAAGGGGACAACATAGTAGTGACTGGAGGCTACTTCCAGGATGTGTTAGTGACGTGACATGTGGCCAAGTATGGTGACCCATACTCGGAATTAGTGCTCTGCATTTACCCATCCAAAGTGCACACACACAGCAGTGAACACACACACACCGTGAACACACA